AATCCCATAGATATATGAATGAACCAAAATAGGGCACAATTAGGCAAAAGGCATGATATGGTCTCAATGTCCATAAACACAAGCACCGGGGTTGCTTTGCCTTTCATCCCAAATAAATAGCTGATAGGTATAGCAAATGAGACAATCCATGTAATTATGGTTACAATGACTGCTATATTAGGGCTCCGGAAGAATACGGATATAAATCCCGCGAATAGTATGCATTGAATGAGAAATAATAGCGAAAACAATGCGAATAATGTGAATGAGACTCCGGGTAAAAGTCCACACAAATACATAATTAGTGTTAGTATGAGATGTTGGGCACCGATAACGGACAGGGAGTCTATGATAATAGTTATCCAATGATGGGCTCTGGATATTCCCAATTGAAACAAGTAGTCCGTAATCCTTGTCTGTCTGTCCTCCACAATACGTTTGACAGACACCGGTAGCATAACTAACAGCGCGAATAGTATGATAACAATTTCGTTATAATATCGGTCTTCCCGGACGTAAAATGTATTATCATTGATATAGTTGACGGGTATTGGCATTAACTGACGATAAACATCGATATTATCGACACTCGTGTTACTAACGAGTGAAATGTGCGCCAAATCTATAGCCACTTGTATTTCGCAAAAACACGACTCAATGTACCAGTTGTACGGATTGCGGGGATTATCACTTAATGAATCATCTCTTATGAATGATTTTAATCGCTCTTTGGATTGTATTAACCCGTTATAATAGTCTTTGCCGTTATAATATTCAGCGCCTATTATTATTACGCTCAATGAGTAGTGTAGGTGCTCTGGTAGTTGAGTCCCATTAGCATCATCCTGTCCCCGGTGCCAATCAGCACCGAAATCAATGGCTATAATACTCCGTATTTTTCGTTTCTCTTCGAGTACTTGACGGCTAATATATGAATTCATGTTTTGCTCGCTATTTACAGCAATTACACGAATTGTGGCCCTGGTAATAAATTAGCATATTTTTGTGTACAATTTCATATATAATATTAACTGTAAGTCTACACGACTCCATACTATGTGGCTATCAAATATATATGGTATACACACAAAATCCCGAACATTATAATATTTATAAAAATAATTATTTTTACATTTTGTAATGTAAAATTCATTGATATTATTAGAATAGTTATTTAAAAGCTAGTTATTGTTATATTAGTAAATAAATATAATAACATATTGTAGGGATAATAGGTATAAAAAGTAATAAATTTAAAACCAAACTTTCACTAAACACTAATGTCAAGTAATAGTTATAAATTATATCTATTTATAGAGTGTAAGACAAATATTGACTTAAATCTATGTTTATTTAAACCGGACACATTAATCAATTGTGACATTAAAACACACATCTGGCCTAAATATCTGCTTATATGCATACGTGTCCTAACTCTCTACGACTATATAACCCCACAAATATTATGTTAACATATAGTACAGTACACTACTGTTCAGTTACGTAAGTGATGCTCATATGTAAGCATCACTATTTTATAAGCAATGTTTATTTATTTGTAATGTATTTAAATAAAGTATAAATTGTCCTGATTAAAATACTGTATGTATTTAATAATACTGTGCTTGATAAATGCGCTGATTATAATAAATTAAAGAAGCAAGCTCATTCTGGTTTGGCTGAGCCGGTTGACCACTACACCCCCAACCGAAGGTCACAATATCTATATTAAATATAAATATATCATAATAAATATAATATTATATCTCATCAACTATTCAATATTGTAATTATTGGCTGAATGTTACTAGTTTATAAACAATTTATAATAACTATTCAAATAAAAATAAATAATATCAAAGAATTTTACACTACAAACAAAGTAAAAATAATTATTTTTATATATATTATAATTTTCGGGATTTTGATGTATTCCCGATATATATAGCTATTCAGTTTATTTACTCTAATTGATTATAAAATATTTCATTAAATTATTAATTATTATAGTAGAATATAATAGTAATTTCATATGAATTCCTCATACCTGTGCCGATATTTTGTGGCCAAATAGTCACCCACTTTCTCCATAAGCGTATTCGTGTAGCTATTGTTAGGACAATAGACTATATCCAGGTAATCGCTGTTATTAATGTTATTTCTATAACCACACGATCCGTAATATATAGGTTTGGATTCATTGATGATTTTTTGGCGATTAAAATAAATAGCTTTTGTCAATGAGTTGAGTATTTGCTTTCCACCGCCGGTACTCCAATACCTGTCCCTTTCACCGCCACTTAACAGGAGGAGTAATATAGCAAAACATATGGGAATTACGAATAGCAATAGGAATGACAGCTTATGGTGGGAACGGATTAACCAATTCTTGTGCAGTAATAGTCGTATGACTTTCACGTGCAATGATAACTTCATTTTGAGAAATATATTTCACTATCAAAGTTATAATTTAAAATAATTTAAAACCACTTATTAGTACAGTGCTAGGTGATTATTTTTAAAATGAACTACTACTGTATACATAATATAATGTTATAACGAGTGTTCGCAACGATTTAGAGTAACACAGTATTTATAACATATTTACCATTTGGTGCGCAAAGGCATACTCCGCGGTGTAGGTTATCAGTGATGATGAGGTCTGTCATATGAGTGCAGACATATGTAGAACTCTAACTGTGTTCATACATATTTCCCATTGATGTCGGACACTATCTTGATACTTTCATGAATGGATGAATAATGTTTGCTTTCATGTAATCATATAATTGACTCGTAAATGCTATTAAAGTAGTAATCAATTGAAAAACACGTCCTTCAATGGGACTGGAAGGCCAGTCCTGTTTACAGTTTAAACACCAATTTGTAGGCCTATTATATAAATGACAGTTTGATAGTGTCATCCTGATAATTTATCATGTTCACTATTACCGTACTACATACAGAACTAAATGGCTCTTAACACTGTATGAGATGGAATCCTACCCAAATCTATGGGTGGGGGTGGACTCTGAATTGGTTTTTCAGTCATAGACAAGACAAAAGTTTTTACACAAATCATCGTCACCACTACCACTGCAGGTAGAGTGACCAGATTTTAAAAATATTTTCACTTTGTGGTAAATAAACAAAGGATATGGTCCAAATTCTCCTAAGCTGGCATTTTTGATTTGTTGATTGGAAATGAAAGCCCATTCAATGCTGAGTCCGAATATGCAATTTATATTGTCCTGTGACCTCGGGTTCGGCCGCAGTG